TTAGTGAAAACTACTGGTCCTTAGTCTTCTTGGCAAAGATGTTACCTTAGTTACTGACATGTTTCACGATCTGTAACACATAATCATCACCTTGCCATGTCGCGAGTTTTAAGTGGAAATTTTGGTCAATACAAAGTACTGCGACAACTTTGTTCGTGGGTGCATGTGCTGCGCTGTCATTACTTAACGTTATCGATCGCGATTGTTTGACCACGATGTCATGGTTGTTCATGCTCATCACATCATTCGTATTCCGATGACCTAGTCGCTTGTGCCACCCTTTCAGCGTGTTAGCCATCACGTTGACTACATGGACTGTCTCAAAATTTACTCAAGTCTCCACGAGGTAGCAAAATACACGATTTCAGTTTAATTTGGCAATTACTCTCTGCTTTTGTGCAACCAGATTTTCACGTACTAAAAAGCAATTATCATCGAATATACTCATGACTCCACACTCTTCAAGTTTTGAAACTAAGAGAATATTGACGCTAGCTGATAGAATTTGATGACCGTCCTTGACGTTTATACATTGCACATAATCATCAACGGGTAGGGTGATTGTCACGTCACCAACCTTCGTAGCCCGGATGACTTTTTTGCAACTGTAACATTCAGGCAGCAGGACTGCACAGCTTGTAGATTTGTGTCGTCATTCGTGATGTGGTGAAATGCTCCACAGTAGAGCAGCGACATAGCATCTTGGCTTTTGGCATTTGGGAATCTTGGGCTGTCCAGAATGACGCGACAAAAATAGTGTCTTCACCGTGGACATTAGGTATGATAGCGCTTTTCTGTTTCATGCAGCTATTGAGCTGGGGCCACCGTACTTGCTGGCGACGTCTGTTTAGAAAATATAATATAATATAGTTTGGCCAGCTTGTTGCACAGGAAACAAAGACGTCCTTCACCCACGCTGCTATTTGCTGATCCTTGGTAATGTTGTCTTATCCTGATTATGTCGTTCTTGTTTCTCCTGTCATTCTATACACTGTCCTATTACCGGAAATTTTTTGACCTTTATCATTTGAGAAGACATCACCCTTCACGCGGCACAAACTATCGAGCGCTTTTTCCAGTTCAGGCTGTGGATTTGTGGCGTTAAGGTTAAAATACAATAAGAAGCGTGAAATTATTCTTAGAACTTGCGTAAGGTGCGAAAGTTTTCAGCTCCAGACGATCGCCCGTATTTAGTAATCTCCCCACATCCGATGGGTATTCTGCGTGATTAGTCCATGTAAAGTGTTTCTTTTCTTTGACTCACAAGGCGGTCGACGAGTTCAGGTAAAATTAGGCGACATCCGTACTGTGCAAGGTACTTTGGCTTACATTCCTTGCATAAAAATATGATATTCTAAAGCTTTCATATTTTGTAGTTGTCGTGGAAACGCTTGGACGGCCTGGAGGTCATGGCCTTGACCATCAGCATTATCTTTGGGAGGTATGCTCAGTTTCTGCATTATATAATGATGCTAATTGTAATAGAGTGCTCCCAACGTAGTTTAAAGTATTTAAAACCGAAACTGATGCCTGTAAAGGTATCTTTCCATGGCGTCAAATTGCTCACATACAGGAGCATGAATGTTTAGAGGCCAATGCCCCATTTAAATTGCAGTCGCCAGGCGTATGGCGCACCTGGTGAAGCTTTCAGCATACTCACATATGAGGAATGGTAACGTTCCCTTTCACCTGCTCTACCAAATGTGAAGCCTACAGGTAGGATTATCACGCATTGGAACCATCAAAACAGTCCTACTGTCGACTTGCTGCTGTAGACGCTCGATGTTGGCACCTTCACCGGTGCCAGCAGGACGCGCTTGACCGCGCATACCCGATGCTCATCCTGCACCGCAGCAATTGACTGCACTAATGATCGCAACATTGACGTTTGATATATCGCCTCATCGGACCCCCTTCTGCTGCATATGCGCTTGCGTCAAAGACCGGCTTCAGATTCGTTAGTACGAGTTCATCGAGCATGGAGATTAATGTTGCGGTTGTGGCACTAAGTTGGGCTCAACTGTTGTGAGTTTCTGTACATAGTAAAGGGAGTGCAAAAACTAGTAACAGGGTACTCTGCTCTATGATGACTTAGTAAATTTGAGAATGACTAACTTGGCACTACCCGCCATGTTTTACTTACTCGTCCTCTTCCTATCGATGTGCGCACATCTGTCTTACCTTCGTCATTGAAGGTCTTGATGTGCCTTGCACCACTTCTGTGATGTGGATTCCTGTTACAATCGATGGCCCTGCTCGGGCATGTTGGCTCCATCACCAGCAATCGTTGATGGATATATGTAGCACCTCATTTTGCTGCAGTAATCATAGGTAGTACGTAAAACTCCTTGCAACGATAAGGCGGTGATTAGTCGCTCAAATTAATTCAGACATCAAAACTTGTTACTTATATAGTAATACTACCGTGGGCAGCCTCCTCGTGCCACACATCGTCACTCCAGCCAGCACATATTTAGTACTCAAGAAGTTGTGGGTTTAGTCGATCGTATAATAATGGCACTGCTTACATAGTGCAGGTCGGTGGAGATACGATGGGTGGAGTAGAATTGAATGACATCAATACACTCGTGAGGTGGTCTAAATTTGCTGCTGTTTGTGGTGCTGCGCGTGCCATAATTTTGAGTCAGCATACAGATTCCCTCATTTGCACATAATGTGGATCGTGAACTCCGACAATGGGGTTCCACCCTGGTGGTGTCTCGGTTGAGCACCGCCGTTTCAATCACATGATGGCCAATCCTATCCCCTATACGACAAACCCAAGGTCGTTAAAAAATTTTGACACAAAAGTCTCGGCTGTACCTAAAGGAAGTAATCGATTCTAGATGAAGTTGGCAAAATGCAATGTGGAAATATTGAGGTCCATAGTTTACAAACTCAGTTGCTACTCTAAGCCTACTAAATTCTTCGACTACTCGTACCTAATGACCACATCGCGCATTACTAGTCGTCTAGTCGTATGTTTCTAATTCTGGTTGTGCGTTTCCGAACACTCAAACGTACCGAATGTGTGGGACGTCACTGTCTGGAAGAACAGTACTGGTGAAACCCAAACACCTGATCACGAAGAAATAACTCTTTGTTTGCACGCCCCCACCGGTATCGATTCATTGTCCTTTTGGAAGTTACTGCCATACCATACCGGATGATCTACAGAACACTTTTCTGAAACGTAGTGCTGAGGCTGTTCCTTTACAACAGCACCACCCAGGATCCCAGGTTTCACTGAACTCGGCTTCCTGTAGAAGCATAAACCCCTACATTAAAAATTCGATGGCCCTGGACTGGCTTGCCCCAGAGAATCCAGTAAGTAGTGGCCATGAAAGTTAAAGATGTGTAGGCCCCGCCAAAGACGACAGACGCAGTCGTTAGAAATACTGAATGTGTAACGGGGCACCCTGAAGCTTGTACTGATGACAGTACAAGCTATTCATTCTGATGACAGAATAAGGCGGTGCCTCGGAACTTCACGTACACTCGTACGTGCAGAGGAGGACGGTAAGAAGAAGTGAGTACTTGATTAAAGTAAAAAGTAGAACTGTATTTAGTATAGTTAATGTCTGCAATAAATCACTATTTATCTTCATCTAACTATGTCTAAATACAAATGTGCATATCAACTATCTGCTCACCACTCATTGCGTGCGTCTGCCGTGGCGCGTCTTCGTTGGTTGATATAATGGCCTATCTCAACCAGTTAGGAGCTACTCGTAAGTGCTACAGAATATTTGTCCTTATGACAATATTCTGAGAATATAATTCTTATAGTTATATTCTAGTAACAATTTCTTATAAATTGTTATGCAACGGTTCACCCCGTTACATCACCCCCCCTTAACCATCAGTCACCTAGTGACTGATTGACTAAATAGATACTCGTCCCAAATCATTTGGGACAGGGTTTGCACTTGTTGATTCGAGTCCACTTTCCAACATCTCATCGCATGGTTAACAAGCCCATGCGATGCGCGATCAAGGCCGCCGAGAGCGCGTCCGCACGTCTCTGTGCGGACGCCGAAGCAGAAACCGCAGCAACTGATGTCTCATCGGTTGCTGAAGCGTCTCAGCCTGTGTCACCTGGTGATGCAGGTGCTGGTCATGAAGACACTCATGTCTTCACAGAGTATGAGCTCGGTGTCTCATACTCTCCTGATACGGAAGACGGATCCGTATCGACGGCGATAGAATCTAAGCCGCCTGCCAAGCGTGGCATGGATGATGCTTTGCGTCGCAGCATCTTTGGTTCATCTGATGAATCAGATGAACCATCACCGAAGCGAAGGCGCCCGAGGTCGCGAGACTCGGGCGCTAATAGTGGTGTCGGTTCTCCTATGGACACCACTTCGCAACGAGGTGCCAGTACTTCTGTCGGCACGTCGCAGGAAGAGCGGTACCGCAATGTCTTGCGTCTTGCTCCTGAGAAGGAGGCATGGATGCCTCCAAAATCCGTCATGGATCACTTGTCGGCGACGACGAGTGATCGTTATCGAACACGGTTGTTCGATTCGTCAAGGATCCATCACCTTGAACCCAGCGCGAAAACTATCGCGCTGAACATGAATTCTTCATCGATGCTTTCTTTAGACATCGATGGTACAGTGGGAATCACAAACGTGATGGTCCCTCACTACTTCAGGCGTGGAACGCCTACATCCATAACCTTGAGGATGTAGGTCGTGACGCTTGGAACGACAAACTTATCAAAGCTCGTGATAAGTTTGAAAAGCGAACCCCGACAGGTGCACGCTACAAGCTGCATCGTCTGTCAAGGGAGAAAGGGTTACCCTGCCTCTCTTGGGGAGACTCGTGCCCATGTTGTGTGAACAACTCTGCACGAGCACCTAAGAAGGCTTACCTCCTTACTAGCCCGTGGTGGCGCGTACGTATCTCTACTGAGATGTACGAAGGGATTGACAACCTGAAATCCCTTTACGACCGTGCCGGGAAGACTTTCTCCGGCGGTCCTTCTGCGGAACTGGATGTGCCGCGTCGTACTGCTCAACCAGACCCAGTACGTCAACCATCAGTTGGGAGCGGGGCTCCCAGGTATCCCAGGACGCGCGGCTATCCCCCGCGCCACCGGACGAGATAACTCGTCCGACGTCCGTTCACGTCGCGGTGGTTCAACAGCTGCTCAACTAGATAGCGCTGGCCACCGCGAGAGTCCTCTAATGGAGGTGGAGGAGGAGGAAAGACGCTCTCCACACGATCATGTGGATCGGTGTGTTCCCGAGAGCTTCTTCGATCGCGTAACGCAAGGGTTACGCGGTGGTCTCGAACATGAGCGGGACAGGCGTCTCCAAATGACGTAAACTGTCTTGAAGCATCGAGCTGAGTTTGCCTTTGCTCAGCTTGAGAACGAGAGAGCTCTGACGTCTCTGCGTGACGAGCTAAGGGTAGCTCGTGGGGATGTTGAGCGGTCTCAAGCTGAGACAACTGCTTTTCAGATCCTTGTCGATGCCCACCATCGGGAGCACAAGGCTCTCTGCGAGATGCTTGAGCGCAAGGGCGTTCTTCATCGGAAGAAGCAGCGTACTGATGGTACGGCTTACGCCGACCAACGTAAAACGTGGGATGCGTTCGCATCTTACGTGGTAACTCGATCGTGTATGCATTGACTTGGCGGTGAAATACACGAAATGGGCCGATGTAATTGGGTAGTAGTTTACTGCTACCCAAGTTAGTCACTACATGCTTTGGTAGATTAACCGTAGACAGTAGGACTAAGTCACCTTTATTAAATAAAAGAGTGTTTGCCCTTCCATTCTTGTCAGCGTTTTGCTTTTGCTTATCCACCGCTTCGGCGATGGAGTCTTGCACAAAACGGACTACCCTTTCACGAGCCAGTATGAACTCGTCTGATGACTCGTTAGCTTCAGTGCGCTTACAGCGCACTGCAGCAACATCAACCTTTTCTTCAGTGAGGGCTTCCGCACTCTTACTGGCATCATCTTCTTCGATATCGATGCTATCGATATCGGCATCGAACGCAATGACCTCTTCGTCAGAGCGTGATGAGCGTGAACCAATTCGGTTTTTGCTCGCGCGAGTCCCTCCCCATCTTAAACCAGAGTTACACTCTAGTAAGGTGGGTACACGCGGATGGCGCAAGCCATTCACGTAAAACGGTGTATGGGTCGTGGACGCATGGACCGAGTTGTTAATGGCAAACTCTACCATTGGAAAAAACTCACTCCAACTCTTAAAGGAGTGTACGTATCCTCGAAGTATCTCTTCGAGGACACGATTGGCACGTTCCGTCTGACCATCTGACTCTGGATGATCAGATGTTGACATCTTCAAGCGCGTTCCGAGTGATTTGAACACGGAACGCCAGAAATCAGCAGTGAATCGTGGATCTCTGTCTGATACGAGTTCACGGGGCAACCCATGAAGTCGGAAGATGGTGTCGATAAAGACACAAGCACAGCCACTTGCCGTGATTGTCTCTGGTACAGCCACAAGGTGTACCATTTTGCTGAATCTGTCAACAAATACGAGAATACCCGTATTCCCGCGTGCGTCTTTGGGTAACCCGAAGACGAAATCCATTGAGATGGATTCCCAGCACTCAGCCGGAACCGGTAGAGGCTGTAAAGGTGCACGCAGTGAAGGACTTGACTTCACTCGTTGGCAGATTTCGCATGCGCGAACATACTTTCGCACAAACTGATACTGGCGGGGCCAGTAAAAGTCTCGACTTACCGTGAGATATGTTTTCTCTCGGCCACGATGTCCTCCTATAGGAGCATCGTGATACTCGAACATGATCCGCAAATGCAGATCAGTATCATCTGGAATGACAACACGTGGTGTGTCACCAGAAACGGCTGTATAATACCGTAAACCGTTGTGAGTAGTGTATCGATCTGATGCAGATCGATACGCAGACGACAATCGTTTCAACGATTCTCGAGACGGCTGTGAGAGATGTGTCAACAACTTCACAATCTCACCATCTTGGGCGTATGCCCGCCTCACATCATCATACAACGTTGTAGATGGGACTGAGGACGTCAAAACCGCAACAGTGACTGTCTCACTGTTGGGTTTCACGACTGGTTCAAAGTCGGGACGACGTGAGAGTGCATCAGCGACGACATTAAGTCGTCCTGGTTTGTACTCGACCGTAAAGTTGTATTCCGCAAAGAATGACAACCACCGCGCCATTCATTGTGAAAGGTGCGGGCTGTTCACTGCCGTGCGTAATGATGCATGGTCAGTGTAAACAATGAAGGGTCTATCTCCTAATAGATAGACTCTGAACTTCGCGAGTGCATACTTCATGGCAAGGGGTTCCTTGTCATGCACTGGATAGTTCCGCTCAGCTGGTTGCAGCTGACGCGACTGATAGCAGACGACGCGTTCAACGCCTTCAAGATCGTACTGCATTAATGCACAGCCGATTGCGAAATCGCTGGCATCACAGACCACATGAAATGGCCTGTCCTGATCGGCAATTGCTAGGACTGGGGATTGTATCAAGCTCTGCTTGATACCATCAAAGGAGCGCTGACATTCAGCGACCCATAACCACCTCTCGTTCTTTTTCAACAAACGAGAGAGGTGCACAGTCATCTCGGTGTAATTGCGTGAATACTTATGCAAATACGCCGCTAGCCCAAGGAATTTTCGAAGACCTTTGACATCAACCGGCACAGGCCAGTCGGTGATCGCCTTGATCTTTTCGGGATCAGGACGTACACCGTTCTTACCAACGATGCACCCAAGAAGTGGTATTTCGCTTGCTGCAAATATACACTTCTTGAGGTTTGCATACAATTGATGCTGTCGCATGATTGTAAGAACCTGTCGGACGTGGTACCTGTGAACCTCAACGTCCGACTTTCCATCCATAGCCCGACTATGGATGAATACGTCATCTAAATAACTCGGCGCGAATTCTCGTACTGGTATCAACAGATGTGATACACATCTGTTGAACGTGACAGGGGCATTACTAAGCCCTTGTGACATTAATAGCCATTCCCAGAGCATGCCGCTAGGCGTGCTCACTGCGGTATAGGGTATATCCCGTTCTCGCATAAGGATTTGATAGAAGCCATCCATCAAATCCATAGATGAAAAGATGGTACTCTTTGGCATACCATCAATGATTACGTCCTTCCTCGGTATCGGCGTCTGAGCCGGTACCGTTGCAGCATTCAACTTGTTAAATGCACTATCCGCCACCCTCCTGTTGCTTTTCGCACACAGAAGGTCGGAGAGCTATGTGGGGAAGTTGATTCCCTCACATGGCCCGCAGCTAAACGATCGGCAAAGAACTTGTCGATCGCAAGTACTTGCTCACGAGGCAGTGGCCACTGCTTCATGACACAGTACTTCGAGCCTGGTTTAAGCTCGACCTCGTGTCGAATACCTTTATCCTTCGGTAATTCGCACGGAACAGTTTCAGGAATACATCCTTGAATTCAACCAAATCTTCATAGAGAGGATTTGTCTTGAGCGATTCCCACGATTGGGAGTCATATCGCTCAATTCGTGTCTTTTCATCTAGGACACTCTCGTCCATAGATGAACTACTGAGAACTCTCTCGTTCTCAGTAAACACTGTTGCTGACCTTATGTCGGCTACACACTCGTCGTCAGCGACGAGTACGCAGATCTGCTTGACTTTGCCACTACGCAGATCACGCAAGAACCTTTTATGTTCGAGCGTTGGCAACTGAGTGATCTCCGAAGTCAACTTCGGAGGCGCAATCAGATTAAGTGTATAAGCGCCTACACTTGATCCGTCATTGACTATGACATTCAATGTCTCTGTCATTTCCTGGGGACTTATTCCCTCAGGCCTCGAAGGACTTATTCCTTCGGCTTCCCGGGGACTTATTCCCGCGGGTTTCGGGGAACTTATTTCCGCCGTATTTGTAATTTTGGGACTTATTCCCTTTACTTCCTCTAGATGTGGTTGCGCAACCACAGCGAGATCCTCTACGAAAGACTCTCGAGTCGATCTAGGATTATCGTTTTGCTTAACCTGAGCGATCGATTGTTTCTCTTCAAGATGTTCCCCGCTAGGGATACATCTTTGTCCCGGTCCACTCGACTTATTCGAGTGGTGGACCTTCGGCGCAGCCTGTGTTTCCTCACAGCCGCCGGAACTTTGCTCCGAAGTGTAACCGTTTGGTACACTAAGGTTTTGTGCAGTCGTACTAACGACCGTACCACAAGTGAGGCCATCGCACTCACTCGTAGTACATCCACACGCTTGTGGACGCTCCAAAACGTTCATCAGATGGCCATCTGATGAACAAGCGGCAGGCATCGTTACTGTTCCATGTTGCTAGTTTACCCGTGGTTCGTACCTTCTGAGCCACGGTATTCCAAGGATGACATCAAATTTTTCATCCAAATCCAATACGATAAAGTCATCGTCGTATTTGGGTATCTTCTAGCGTATAGTGGATCTTCAATATACGCTTCATAACGGTTACGGATGCGCCTGTCGCAAGACGTACCGTCATCCTCGTAGGAGGTGTGTCACATTCACTGAACTTAAAGTGACCATCTTCTAGCGATTGGCGTCGCACAAAATTGTTGGACGCCCCACAATCGACTAGAGCTCGAAGGGACAACTTATTCGTCACTTCGAGTTTCAAGGTAATGAGTGAGATCTCATTACCTAGAGCAGCAACGCACAACGTTTGTGTGTTGGGAGCAACCTTCATCAAGAGGCCTACAAATTCTCTTGACGTTGCTGGACCAGTAGGGTACTCCGCACCTACTGATCCTGTCCGTTTTTTGACGGTCCATCCCGTTGTTGCGTCTTTGCACTAACAGCGGACCCGCGTCCCTGCCCCTTTCTCATATGTGGACGGTCACTACGCCCAGTGTTGCGAGACACTAGACGAGGGGCACTACACTCGTAAGCGTAGTGTCCTGTCTTTTGACATCTGTTGCATTTCTGCAACTTCTTGTAGTCTGTAGAGCGAGCCTTCTCGCTCTCTACATAACAGAGTTCCATCGGCTCTGGACCTCCATTGTCATATCGTCTCGGTTGACAATACGATGTCGAGCTGGCGCGAGCCTGTCTCAGACTGAAGTCTTCCTGTTCCGCAATGGAAATGGCTTGTTCTAGTGAATGTAGTTCAAGTCGGAACAGGTGAGTCTTGACGGGACCATCCGCAAGACCCTGCATGAACACCGAAACCAACGTGTGTTCATCCACCGGATTGGAACTTATACAACTCGTGAGATGTCGTATATGTTGAGCGTAAGCGTGCACATCACGCTTACCCTGCTTGAGCTTCAAGAGTTCGGTTCGAGCTCTGAACTCAGCTCTAGGCGGTTCAAACGTTTGTCTGAGCCGCGACTTGAAGACTTCCAACGACCCAAACGCATATGGGTCGTGCAACTTGAGCCCCAGTGCCCAAGTCTTGGCACGTCCTGCCAGATTTGATTGGGCAAATGCAACTTGCATATCCCCGTCGTCGATGCGACGCGCCCTTATGGCGTCATCCAATTCGACGAACCATCTCAAGAGGGAGTCCTCTTCGACTCCCCTATACTTGGAGATGTCAATCTTCAAGGTCTCGGGTCGACGCGAATGCATCGACCCACCAGCAGCAGCCTGCTGCTGTCTCAACAGTTCAAACTG